AAAGGAAAAGATGACAAATATCCCCCTGGAACACACCCTTGGCACACCATCAATTGGAAAACCGCTTTGATTAGAAATATGCCCATTGTTTCAAAATTTCTTACTTTACTGACAGGTATATGGGTTTAATTGTATTTGCCAGCGGCGCGCAGTCACGTACCTAGTGCATTCCCATGTAATACATATTAGTTACCACCTCCGCTTCTAAAATAGAATAAGCCAACATGAACAGGAAGAACCACATCCTTTAAGGCGTGTCCTGTTCACTTCTAAAGTTCTGACACTTCAGCACTTATTATTGTATGTCATTATATCTATATATCTATATATGCCCTAACTAGTGCGAAACTGTGGACCTTTTCACTCGTTCAATCCTTTTGAAATCGTTATGAGACGCCACCTGACCAAAAGTGCCGGATTATGTGTTTTATCTGTGCTGCACGCACAGTGGAATACCAGGCCACTATGATAACTTGGGGTCATCTGTTAATCCCATAACATTATTATAACTTGAGTTTAAAATAGTACCCTTCCACTCAATTGGAATAGATTTTATTTCCATTCTTATAATAATTACTAATCGCACTATTTACACCAGCGACCCTGACCTTGATACGCGAGTAGAAGATGGATGGATGGATGGGCTTGCTATTGATGTTAATCTTACACCATTTAAAATCTGTTATCTAAAATGTAAAACAGATAAACTTGTTTTCTTGCATTCTATATGTATTTATGGTGAACCTGGATTTGGAGTCGGGTACAGGAACCATCCTGTTAAATGGTGTAAAACCCTGTTGTTTTGCTTGGTCCCGCAACCATGCTCTGTGCTGGCAGCTGTCAGAGCTGCCCCAGCGGCTGGAGTGTCGACTGGCGTGTGGACTGGCGTGTGGGACCCGACTGGGCTGGAGCCGAAGACGTTTGTTAGGCTCTGGAAGGAGAGGCCGCGCAAAGCTATCCCAGCATCTGTCAATACGCCACTAACCGCCAGATCATTGCACCATCACCGCAGCAGCGGTGGAGTGGGGGTAGGGGGGCTAGATCTACCGGGCTGCCTGGCGGACAGGTGCTCTGGGTGCAGAAGTGCTGCCGCGTTTGGCAGACAGGAGAAAAATAAAGGTAGAATCACACCATTGTTAGAGCCATTTAACTGAAAAACAACAAGAGATAATGAGTCACGGATCAAGGATTTGGGCCGAACTGAATCGCCGTCCATTATCAGAAACAAAGCAAAAACATACAAATATTTTTTATTATACATTCAAAATTACCCAGCAAATATTTTACAACCGAAATGGTACAAAAATAGAAGTGTGTGCTCTGCAGGAGATGAAATCGACAGGATGTATTGGCGGCGGATCAAATTATGACTTTATCGATGTATCAGGTTGCCCAGTCGAACGGTCCTCTTCTTAAAGCCCATGCGGGTCGAGGGGACTCGGCCAATGCCTCGTCCTTTCGTTTGCCATTTCGTTTGCCATCTCATATCTGTAAATGTAGAGCATTGGTAGCAAAAAAACAAAAACAAAACAAAAAGAGCTCTTGTGTATATTTGTTATTCAAAGTTAAGGACAAACCACAGGGCTGTAACATCTAATTACTTGGTGTAACCAAGAACTTCACCCCCCTCCCCCGTACGTGTGCACCTTGAGACCGTTTAAATATGCGTTTGGCCCCCACACATGGGGCTAGAGAGAGAAAAGGGGGAGAACGAACGCACGCACATTTGTTAATGCCCTCTCTCCCATTTAAATTGCAGTAGGGTGGTGAGATCCCATAGAGCATGGTGCATCATCTGTGGAAAGCAATTCAAATGTGCGAAGTCCCTTTTATTATCGGGGAGAATGGAGAAAAAACATTGCTGTGAAAATAATAAAGGTAAAGGCAAAATAATCATAGCTATTCATCATCTGTATAATGGGGAGAGGCTGGGGACCCTTTGTGGGAGCGCAAGTGGCGAGTTGAGATGCATCTCTTTTGCTTGCAACCTTTTCCGTGGCACCGCCGTTGGTGTGTGTGTGTGTGCGCGTACGCATTGTTGATTAGTGTGATAGTGTCTGAATGGTCTTTCCAAGCACACAAAAAACCCAGTAAGATTGTAATTATCATACAGGAAACACCCCAGCGGTGACTTGTCCTACTTTTGCCAGTAACGCACGAAGACGGGAGAGACGCTGGGCCCGCTGTCTGATCAGCTGATGTCGACCGTGCGCCTGCTTTTAACTCATCTGTGTCATGGATCCGACGGCTGTTTCATTCATTCTAGGTCGATTACAAAATACAAGTTCTCATACACTGCACAGGAGCAGCAGACATGCAGGATGGATACGAATATTTCCTGTCGTAATCAGCTAATTATACTGGTTTTAAATCTGACTGATAACTTGTTATGTAACGTGTATAGGTGATCTGTTTCTATAGTGCTGCGACTCTCACTAAGAAAACCAGTGGTGAAATGATAATGATGGTGGTGATGATGTTTAAGTAGCAACAAATTAGCCTACGGAGGGCACTGACGTTAAAATATGCATGTGCTGGACAAGGCTGTCCACTCTGATGGAGATGAGGACTTCAGGTCAATCTCACGGCATATCAGGAAAAAACTTGCAATGGCATGTTGGATTCATTGTCTTCAGCCAGGCAAACCCACAAACTTGCTTGATGAGTGGTGGGGGGGGGGGGCATCCAGCCGTGTGTCCTAGCTCACTTCCCTTTCTCCGAGAGCAATTGAACAGTGGCAGCACCTCTAACAGACGCTCCGGTGACGACTGCCGTGGAATAACCTAGTAAAATATTCCTGGAGTAGCAGTTACGCAATGAGCCCAAATTAGTGCGTTGTCATTGGCCGGCGAGGAGGTCGAACGCGGCGTAGATGGGAGAGAATCACCCAGGCAGAGAATTCCACTTTGCAGCTGCAGTCCCAGCTTCACGCTGGCAATTAGGAGCCAGAGAACTCGGGACGGAGGAGATTCATGAGAGCGGACGAGAGCGCACATCAAACGTCTAAAATAGGGGGTAATGGGCTGCCATATTGTCTCATCACAGAGCCTCAAAAACCCAAAAAGAAAATGTGCAGATCCACGGCACTGCGGTGAGCCATTGAAGATGCTGACGGTCACGCCGAGTCGAAGGTGTCGTTTTGCTGAGTCTCCGTGACAACAGGCCATGCATCTTCCATCCCTGCCGTGTCTCAGGCCAAAGCTGTTTCACTCCGCTGGCTCCAACACTTCCGCAGGTTTTCCAGCAACGACGATGCCTCTCAGCCCCTTTTCCATCTTCATTTCACCGGCCGCTCTTCTGCCTCCTTCCCCATCTGTCTCTAACCCCAGGGGTGCCTCTTTTGGAGGTTCCAGTGGTACCGATGACCGAGAAACACTCCGGGGCAAAAGGCCCCAAAATCCAGAACCAAACATGGTGGTATTGCTCCAAGCCTGAATCATACATGCCACATACGTGCTACATACATGTACTGGGCTGTTACTATTCCACTCATGGTCATCCTCTTAGTCTTAAGGAGCCTGCCCATTCTCCACTGACCTCTCCCATTAACGTGGCATTTTCGGTCACAGAAACGCCATTGACTGGACGCCTTTTTTTTCGTGACGCCGTTCTCTGTAAGCCTTAGACACTGCAGCGCGTGAGAATCCCAGGAGGGCGGCTGTTTCTGAGCTGCTGAAACCGGCAGGTATGGCACCTACAATCATATCACGTGTAAAATCGCTCCGAACACGTGTCTCGGCCATTCTGATGTTCAGCCACGCAGCAGCGGAGCCTCTGCACCTGATCTGCGTGTTATATGTACTCAGTAACAGTCACATACATTTCCTGTATACAGGATCAGTATGTTTGCACTAATGGGCCAGTATTTGTAACAAAGTGGCCACAGACTGCATGATCATTTTGGAAAGCTGGTTACAGAACTAATAGTTAATCTGCAGGAAAGGCAAACCGTGTTGCAGGATGCTGTAAGGGTAGGGAGCTCATCCAGCGGAGAAATCAGCAGACCATCACAAGACAAACACTTAGCTCGATCGCCAGCATGGGCACCGGGTTTCAAGTCGAAGGAGAGCTGTTCCCCATTTCAGCTGTAATTTGTTTGGTCATGGTCCAGGGACACCACACCACACGGCTGTACGGGAACACAGCCTCTTAGAGTGGGAACTAGTAATGTCTTACAGCACAAAACACCCCCCTTGCGACGGCATGCGAGAAACTGGAGACAGTCGAGCAAGGTCCGCTCCCCTCTGTCGGTGGGGGGCTGGGGGGGGGGGGGTTCCCCTCACTGTGAATTATCTTCCCATAAACAAGGACGAGCTTCTCTGAAACAAGGACGACGCACATTTAGGGGCTGGGTACCGGTCCTTCCGAAATTTGGAAATATGTCTTTGGACAAAAAAAAAAAACCTCGACATCATATAAAACTGCAAAATGCCAGGATCTGTTCATATGTTAGTAGGTATTGTTGATTTATAGGCAGTAAGTGCATAAAAATAAATGAGACTGCAGTGTTCAGCTACTGACAGCCTAGTCATATTCTGTTTTGTGTTGTGTTGAATTGTATTCCTCCGGGCTACAGCATTTGCAGCATTGTTTTGTTGTTGTTGATATACACGGTGATGTGGCAGTAATTGTATTTCTGGGAAATCAAAAAGTTAATCTGAGTTACCGGCACTACCAGAGTCTGACAGTTTTCGCTCTTCTTAATTATGTTTATAAAATCTCTATTTAATTTTTAGTAATTATCAAAGGGACATCTCAGCACTGAAAAGTTTTTGCTGGAGGTGGGAAAAAAAAGCAATAATTTAATTGCATGAAGAATTAGCGTGACTGATTGTCATAACAATGTAAGGTTTACGTAATTAATGGCATCTTTCAAAACAAAGACATCTGTAATATTACGAGGGATAAAATGATCCTTAACAGTTAAGCAAGGTTAATCGCAGCTCCTCTCACCTTTAACCCCCTTGGGACACTGAGGTGCCTCTCTGTCTTTGACACAGACTTGATTTAACCTTTAAGAAAGCCAGACGACTCCCCAGCAAGAGTCTCCAGCAAGAACGATCCGAAGAGATGGAAAAAAACGTGGTTTCAGATGCAGCAAGAATGCTAAGGTAACACAGCAGGCCCTATTCACTAGTAATTGGGACGTTATTCTTTACTGGGGTCAGGGGGGGACATCGGCATTGCATTTTACCATTGTCTCCAGTGCATTTCCTCCCTGTGCCTTTTTATCTCACCTTGTATTCGCCTAAATTCAGCTCTTTGTCCGTCTGCTTGATACTCATCCAGGAGGCTGGTGATACGACAAGTGATTCAACTAGCAGCAGGCCCAGTGTTACACTAACAAAATGCCAGCGCTTGATTCTACGTGGTTGTCTCATGCATCATAGAATAAGACCAACAAGGCACATTGATAATACAATCTCAGAAAAAAGGGTACCAGTTTGTACCTTTGTTTGTCACTGGTCACTGGGTCAGGACCTCACAATTCTGTACCTTTTAAGGTACAGAACAAGACTCCCAATGTACACAAAAATGTTCCTCAGAGTCCATTTCTGTACCTTAAAAGGTACAATTACCTACAGCTAAGGGTACAATTGACAGACCCTTGAGGGTTCGGCACCAGTGACAAATTGGTACCCTCTTTTCTGAGTGTACATAAACTTTAAAAAGAGTGAGCATCTGCAAGATTCCAGTTTCCTTCATTTTAAAACTGTTTTCAGAGTGTTTGTTGTCTATCCAACACGGGTGACAAAGTTCCTGCAGTTAGTTTCTGGAGAGATATACTAAAATGATTACGCCTCTGTGTAAATTATACTTCATCAAACCGCAGCCTGCTTTGTATATGAATTGCATTAGAAGATAAGTTACAGCCTGAGTGTTTCCGCTGAATTAGATGGTGGCAAAGCATAATGGGATTATTTTACTGAACATTTTCTGTGAATAAAGGAACTCCTGAAACACACACAGTGTCAGTGGCCTTCTTTGTAGTCTCCTTATTATACAGTATCAGGGCAGTTACTCGTTTGCTGCCCTTTCCTGTTCCTCTAATCTTTCCCCTGTACACATTTTACACGCCGCTTCCTGGCTGCCCAGAAACAGCCTTATAATATAACATTAATAAAAATCCTCCCGTGACTATAGGATACAATGTTTACACCGAGAACTTTTATTGATCTCTAACCATTGATATCAACAAGGTGTGTTTGATATGTGGGAGAAAATAAAACACAAACGCATATTGTCTAGACATAGATCTGCGGGCCAGTTACAAAGTAACCAGCTGACCTAGCCTGGTCCCACGGAGAAGGAGCGGATTTACAGGTGAGAGGGCTGACTCACATGAGGGATAGTTCCCTTCACATGTGACTCCACGTGCGGACACGACTCTGACCTCGCAGCTATCGATAATGTTACCCGGGCGATAGTTTTAAGCGTCTGCTATTCATATCTGTCGTTCGCCAGCTGCAGCCCCAGTAAGGTCAAAAGCACTGTTACTTCAAGGTCAGACACCCTCTTAAAAAATTACGCACAGCTGCTGGTAAAGGCTCCGGAAGCGGGGACATGAAAAAGTGTGGAACAGGTAGATCTCGGGACTCCAAGGACGTCGAGAACATTAATACACCGTGTGCTTTTCATCCTTTCGGGGACAGATATATTTTTTTTAAGTATATGAATAAATTTTAGCATTATAAATGCAATATGCATTTCAGAATACAAGAAAGGAAGGCAAACTCCTGCATATATTCCCCTCATTGGGTAGGGTATTTGTCTTTGATGGATTTCAGTGTTGCTCGCGACTGAATTCCTAAAACCGTCGTGTCCAATTCGTGTTTGGCTCTCGGAAAAAACAGGAGCTGGTGACAAACTCGGAGGGGAACAACGCATTGCAGTAACGCTGAGGAGAACATGAAATTGTGTCTTTGTGTGCAATCTTTTGTTCTGCATCTTTGGAGAATTCTGTTACTAAGGGGGGCTACTTTTTTTTTTTGGAGGGGGGGGGGAGACTCCACGGGTATAAAGTTCCCATAAGAAACAATGATGACAGTTTCACCTTGCAGTACATGGGTGTAACTTTAACTGAAATACTGCGGATCAAAGAGAGATAAACAAAGTCGCGGGAAATGCTGAAAGAGTATATGGGACCCTGTTAAGGAGACATTCATAAAAAACAGAAGAGCCAGAGTTTAGAAAGCAGCAGAGACAACAATCATAGTTACTGTAGTTGGTGCTATTCTTACCATCACATTGTGAGGGACTCGGAATATGGAAAAGATACGATTCCGAGACTGAAGGTAAATGCCTAACAGTCCCTTGCACTATAGCCAGGACCTCCATCATCAGAGTAATTTCTTAAAATAAAATCCATTTTGTTAAAGAGCGAAAAATACGGGTTTATAAAATGTTAAACTAGGAATAAATTAACTTTTTATACTTCTCGACACTTACGCCTCCTAATGAAAGCTACCATTCTATTTCTTGAGTCTCCACCATCGCAGCCAGACAATATTAACAGGGCTGTACAGGAGTATCCATTAGGAAACAGTCTCCGGGTCTCAGTCTCTGACCAGCTCATTAAGGCCCTTTTTTATATATATTGGCCCCAGAAGGGTGTGTGGTAATCTTCAAATATGAGTGTGAAGACTTTTCCCTTTTATTAGTTGTTAAGCTTCTTATACATGTAGCATATTGCAGCAGGTTAGAGGAACGGGCCTTTATTGTCTTCCATTATTGAATATCTAGACTCTGTCAGCCTTTCCCCAAGGTCAGGCTTTGTCCCAGAATGCTCTCTCATTTCTCCATGTGTTCTGTGCTGTATTCGGGAAGCACAGCACAGACTTGCCAGTAATACACATAAATCCATCTTGGTTGACTTACTACAAACTTTAGCCTTTCCCAATTGCTTCTTTTGTGCTAAAGTAATTCCTCTGGAACGGGAGGGGGGGTGGGGGAGGAAGCAGAAGCTATGAGATCTATGATTAAAAGCAATACCAGAGGTATTGCAAAGCTACCATGACAGAGTGCCATTTTATGAGGTGGGCCGACTGCGGTGGCATTAAAACAGAGGGCCCTTCCTTTAAACAAAAGCCATCCAAAATTTCGAGGGAGATGCCTAATTTATGGACGAGTCTGAAGGAAATGAGTTCCGGGGATTATGTGAAATTTCAATGCACAATAATGGACGCCTGAAACCAAATGCATGAAAATTAATACATAAAAATACATATGATGTGAGAGCAACAGGATTATATCTACAGGAAATGTAATCCTACAAACTCAGAATCGGACACATTAAATATTGAGAAACAGCAACACAGCCCTTTAAATTTTGGCCTAAGCCAAACATTGCGGCAATCCATCTATCCTTGTTCTATAACTGCTTACCCAGGCCAGGGAGCATCGTGGCAGGGATTCAGTAAATCACGTTTAATATCTCCTTAAATCATGAAAAGGCGGCACTCTATCACGACCAATGACACCATCAGCAGTTTAACGTACGTTGAAAAAAATGCAAATTAACTGACTTTGATAAACCCAATTACATTATTTTGGAATATCACAGCGGCAAGAAGACAGAAACTACAGGCGCTACCTGAGTGTTGAGGAGGAGGAAAAAAAAACTCTTGCGCCATAGTATTTCCAAATTCATTATAAATGACACAGCGCCACCTTGTGTCCACAGTGGCAAGTAGGAGAGCACTGCTGTGAAACATCACATTAAACCATATTTATTAAATTATATCACAATTGAAGCAAAACTCACTCTAGTGTGTTATTTTATTTTCTCCATCGGTGACATAAAAAAAAAAAAAGCGTACAAATCTGACACTAATTAAAAGCTTCATTTACACGTGGCAGAAGATTGAGGAAACAAATGTATAAAATTCAACTTAGAAACCTGTACATTGGCCGCACACTTCATCAGTTCTGATCAAAAAATGAAATTTCCCAGTTTCCATTTGGTATATAGTATTTGGTCTGATTTCCAAATAATGGCAAATATGAAGAATCAGCCACAGTTTCAACACTTTCATTTAGACTGGAAAGGGTAAATACATACTATTAATGCTTAAGGAATGGGAATTAGAATGAAACATTAGATATTCAAACAGTTCACCTTTCATTCATTTGAATGATCATATATGAATTCCACATTATTCAATATTCTGATATTTTAACATTATTCATATGAAACAGTCCAGTCTTTACTTTCATACGTTATATGTACATATTATGATGATTTTAGAGAAAGTCTCTAAACCTAAAGCGACTACATTTTTAAATGACTAAATTTTAAAAGTCTGTCTCCAAAAATGGAGACGTTTAAAGCCGCCATTCTCCAGTACGCCTATATGTATCATCTAGCTAAACCAATTACCACAAACAGACTCCTCTTGTAGGATCTAAGCTTTTGTGTAATTGTCATTCCTAAGTAGCCCTTTGTTTAAAGGTGGCACATTTTATCGTAAAACACAGTGTAGGTTTCAGAGTGACACAGTTCTTGGCTAGAAGCTACCCAAGGCACGAAGCGTGGAGTGCTGTGGCAGATGTTTAATATCCTCGCAATAATATCTCCCATAGATCCTCTGCTTTCCTCAACGTTTAGTTCTTGAAAGAAACTAAACTCCCAAAGTGAAGTGATCAGTATCCCAAGATGTGGTTAATGTGACCCTGGGGAAAAAGAAGAATTAAAATGTTAAATGAAGTTCCAAATGCTGAGCCGAATTAGACTTGAGCTTGTTATATCTGGAGAGAAACTAGCTAAGCAGTCTGACTACTTTGGTAAGAAAAGCATTTCAGTTCAAACATATCTAAAAGACAATACCCAATCAGAGAAAATGTTACAAGATTAAAGCATGAGTGCAGAGAACCGGAGCTGCTGATTGGCTGGTACACAAAAACACGCCCACATCCTAATTAGGACCAGAACAGCACGGCTATGGAAAGACGACCCACCGACTCTCCTGCCATGCACCGAAGGCACTGTCCAGAGCTGGCAGCCTGAAGGGTGTACACCTGTTCAAAGTCACACACACAACAAAACATCAAAACCACTAAAGGCCAGAACTCCTGCCAGTATTTAATAGCGGAATACAGATAACGTGGTATTTTCTGATATTCCTGTGTCCAAGTCTACACTGACTTAGCAGAAGGCAACTTTGACTTTTGACCAGAGAGGACATACAACACACACTTTTGGCTTGAATTATTTCTTTACAAGCATTCCCAAGAAACCCCCACATAGCCCCCATTTCATTCATTGTTTTCTTGACAGCAGTTATCTTACATCAGTGTATTAAGAAACTGGGGATAAACGTCTTTCTTTAAAAGACCAGAAGATGGCGCAGTGGTTAATAAAATTACTCTGTAAACAAAGTTGCTTTTTCCAGTTGTATAACAAGCCTGTTATTCCAGCCTTGAACAAAGTACTTAAACTGAATTGCCGCAGTAAAAATATAGTTTACTTGGCATAAAATTATTAATGACTTTGAATGAAAGTCACCGCTCGCGGAAGTGAAAGCTAAGTGTTTTGTTTTGTAAGACTTGAACCTTGAACTTAGATCGTGTTTCTCAAACGGCGATTTTATCAACGCTCCGTAATCTTGCCCGGGTGCCCGGGCCGTGGAGCCGCTTACCGCGTTTGGGCCGCTGTCAAACCGCATCGCCGCCCCGCCGTGGGCGCCCTGCCTCTCCAAGGTTGCCATGGAGCAGTCCACCATCCTTGCACACCCAGCCTTGTCGCCAGGTCCCAAACCATTGCAAAACTTTTTCTAAAGCAGAGAAATGAAGGTCAAATTTGTAGAGGTACAAATTGTATGAACTACTGTGATCAGCCTAACCAGTTACAGAACAGTTATCTTTCAGAGTCCCTCCTCGGCTCCACCTACCATAATATTATAAATTCCTTATTAAAATTAAAAAAGAACTTCAATATACAGAGGATCATCAGCTATTCTGCTAGTTAAAGTAAGGATACGTTACATACTGGATCTATTCTGGTACCATTAATGTCAAAACTTAAAATAGAACATAGCTGGCAAAAGTGGGAACAAGATCAGCAAGACGAACTAAAGAAAGGTCGCACCTACAACATAAACAGAACGGACACTAAAAATACTTCCTCACATAATTACAAGTGATAATGTAAGCTGTACATTGCCGGGCAGTAAATATCTTCACTTACAGACGGACCGCAGTGATTCCAGCCCTCCACATCTCCTCCTTCGAGGGGTCTTTTGTTTTGCGAAGCAAGCATACAGTCCATCGGGAGCGACGACTGGAACCTGGTACACAACAAATCTTACCTTATTTAGTAACTATACAGCCAATTCAAGTAAATACACTTGATGCGTCTTATTATCTTTCAAAATAACAATAAGGAATTGGCAATCTATCATATACCGTAGCTAATGTATATTGTGTAGCTTTTTTCCATTTATGAGGAGCTGACGGTTAAAGCTTTTTACGAAAAGTGAAATATCAACACACTTTTAGGACCTCTTCATCAGATAATAAATTACTCCTTCCTCGTTCGCTAGATGTGCAAAACACGTTTTTGATGGAGCGCGTTGCGAAAACGAAATAGCCAATGAAATCGTGCGCTGAGCAGCCAGCTACCCGTACGTCACAGTCAGCCATCTTTGTGAGGTCTAAACCTCCGCCTCTCTTCAGTACTCACTTCTGGAGAAAGGTGTGTACAAAGTCATTTGGAGAAAAATACCTCCATCATAAAAAGGTTTGTTATTAGTTACATGCATTCCACGTTTATTAGAAAACCATATGCGTGAATTTACAATTATTCAAATAATAAAACATAACAAACATATATTATCCATCTGTATATCTATACATCGACCACTTAAAGTTTAATGTATATTTAGAGAATTCTGAACAACACGAAAATTCATTCCTTGATTAATTATCTTGTCTTAACGCTCCTCTTGAGTAATATTAGATTCACCGGTCAAACTGAGCCGGGTTCAGCGCATTTACTGCGTCTCGTTTTAGTGCAGATAGTAATGCCTAGTTCTTTTTTCGCAGAGCGACGCAAACGCTCGGTGATCCATTACTTATGTCTGGAAGCATGGCGAATGTTGTAGAAGCTTCGTCTCAGCAGCAGTTTGAGGACCTTTTAAACAGAGCTGGCAGGTATTTTCGCCCTAGTAACATCACCGGGGAAGAGTTTCTAAATTAATCTATTGAAAACGACCGTTTGTTAGGGTAGTATTGAACGTTGTAGGTGTATGCCAAAGCTTTTAGCCCTTAAGTTGCTCCTTGAGAGACAGCTATTTGGCTAACGAGCGTATTTGTGTGATTTCGTTTAAATTTGCCTGAATAAGGTCTCAAAATATGTTGTCTTTCAGGTGATGACTGATTAACTCACACGATCGTTGGCTGCATTTTAAGGTTTTACTTTTTCCCGGAATTCATGGGCCACAGGCCATTTCAAGGCATTTGGTGTTTGCGGTGTATGAGGGTCAATCTGAAGGATGGGTATTTTCCTTATTACTTATTCATAAAATCTCTCAACACATATCTTTAGTTTCTGTTACATCTCTCAGTACTCATGAATATCTAAAGTGATATCACTAAAGGAAATTCCTGTCGTTCTTTTGGTCTGCATTCTTAGACTGTAGGCCGGCCAGGGACTCGTCTGCCTTTTTCCGGAGACAAGGATTGTAACTGACATCATTTAAGGAGCGACTTGTAATGCCATGTCATTCAATTAGTCAAATCACATTTCCTTTAAGAGACCAAAGACTGAAAACTAACGACAAATTGACTGGTTGTTTTAAAATATAAATGGAAGAAATTTGCTATTGGTGCTTAATTTTTAAGGTGGGAAATTTATCTTATGATGCAGTACTTTTCAGCCTGAACATATAGAGCATGAAATTCTAAGTAAATGGTCCGTAATTACCGAATTGAATTACCGAAGTACTGTAAAGCACGCGATATTGCCTGTTTTTTTTATTGTAATGTGTGTATTGTTATTGTATTGTTAACTTTCGGAGCATTTTCCATAGCCAGTACTATGTTGGCACACACAATTCAGTAGTAAAAAAATGGCATGGCTTAACTTTAATGGCTACTTCAATGTGTTGTGGATTTTTTTTATTTAGTATTTTTATATCTAGTTAATGTTTTATTATCTTGTATTTGCTGACCATTGTAACAGCCAATTTGCTGCTTGTCCCTCGGACCAGCAGCGGGGCTTTTACCTATATTTTCACACCGTACGTCCACTGTCCTCATGCATCGGACCTTTTTAGATGGCTTTCTTTGTGCTCAAAGGGGGAGGACAGACAGTTACATTATTCAAAGGAACAGTAGTTACACGTTTTGTTCACACGCCTCGTGTGAGTGGCAAGTGTGAATTATTTAGAAAAACGTCTGAGAACTTGTTAATGTCGTACATTAAAATGGCTCTTTGTGCTCATTAACCACTTTCACATGGTTTTGAAGGGTCGACATGAAAGCAAAGTTGCATTGGCTGATTTGCTTAGACTCCATCGATGTGTGTTTAGTTTGTGGTGTTGACATCTTTCTGGATCTGCATCATTGTGAGCCCGTCACACCGTGTGTCTTGTATATGTTAGGGCAAAAAACTTTTTAGCTTAGCAAAGGGTGCAGTTTGAAAGGGTTGCTAGATAAATAGATTAGATAGTTGGATTTTTTTTTGATTGACCCACTGAGACAGTCTCAGCCTCCTTTCTTACACCGCAGTGCGATCGCTGGTTTGTTCTTATGAGAGAAGTCCCTCTGTCTAACTTACGGCTGTCAAATATGACGCATACTAAATATAACTGGTTTATTAGCTCTAATATTCCTTTGAATTGCCGGTGGCATCTTGCAAGATTGGCTGCTGAGCGCATGGTTTTGTTGAAAATGAGTTGTGGCGTTTTTACTGGGTAACCGAACTCCCGTGCCTTCATGAGTTTGGTGTCCAGGTCTGGTACCGTTTGTGCAGAGACGTGAAGCCAGTTCAGCGGATGTAGTCCTTGCCGTAACTTGCAGGCTGCTGGTCCCCAGCAGGGATCCTGCTTAGTGACCTTGCACCAGGTAATTAACCTGAATTCCGTCCAGAAAAGCATCCAGGCGTCCAGATGGATGTAACTTATAAAAGGCTCGGCTACCGGAGGCAAGACGGCAGGGCCCGACATCCTGCGGTTTTGAGCCGTTTCTTTCCGCGCGCTTTGAGTCACCAGCCTGGCGCCCCTCACTTTCCGCGAGGTGACGTTGACCCCCTTCTCCCCTCCCCAGCTTGCTCTCCGTGGTCCACTTCTCCGCGCCATGGGCCCCACAGTGCGAGCAGATGAGCGGCGTTTTGGAGGAGCTGGCCAAGGAGCATCCGCAAGTCACATTCGTCAAGGTGCGTCGCCGCCGCTGGATTTCTGCCGCGCTCCACTGGACTTCCAGCCGGCATGAGCACTTCAAGAAGGCTGCACGGCCGTGCCCTTGATACAACTGAAGTTTATACCGTTTTAATCTTTGTTAAAAGCCTGCGAGGGTTTAAAGAGCGTTAAATTAATACAGCATTAGGCAACGCAAACTGAGTTAAGACACCCTGTTTCTGGAAAGCGGCAATTTACGTAGAGGAACGATTAACACCCAGACAAATTATACTAAATTATAGAACCCTTTAGCAGGACTGCCTGGGCTAATTCTGCCCAGGAATCAGAAATAGGTCCCGTTTTTGGCCCGAAACCGCTCTGATGACAGAGAAAAGTGAGCTCATACTCCAAGGTGTTCTGTCGCTAACGCGGCCAGTGCTGATTGATCTCTGTTATTTCTGCAAGGTTTGCTTTAAATTACACCACCACCCCCCACCCCGATTTTAATAGATTTTTCACTCTCCATCTCCCACCCTGGCAGGACCCCCCCCCCCCCCCCCCTACCCTTGAATTACTTTGACTTCGGTCAAAACTCTGAGCCGTTTTTTGTGGCCTCAGAGGACGTGGTGGCCTGGTACAGCCTACCTGGGCGGGGCTTCCTCAGAGCCCTGCCCACCTCGGCGTCCAATCACCCAGCAGTAGTGACAAAATGAATGCGGATCATTCGCCGACAGTACTGACAATCAGTCACTCTTAATAGCTGCTTCAGGTACTAATTGTGAGTGAAGCTGATCCGTCGTCATGACTATTTATTATAGATTTGCCTACTTTAGACGTATGAAACGCCTGGCGGGAGGCTATATACCATTATAAAAATAGCACAGCCGAAATAGAGGGGCTGCATCAGCCGCTAAATCGTTTTTAAAATGACTGAATTTACAGCGTGTCAGAATGAGAGCGTGCGTAGCCCGGGGGGGTGGGGCGGGGCGGAGGGGAGCTACAGTAGGTGTTGCCTTAAGTTTATGTCTGCGCCGCTGATGAGCTGAGCACTGATCAGAGATCAGCAGGGGCCGCGGGGCAGGGTGAGGCGGGGGGTGGGTAGAGAGCAGAGGTGATAGGATGTGCTGTTGAGAGGTGGGTGTCTTGGCTCCCCACCCTTCAGCCATTTCTGCGGCGTTTCCCCCCCCCTCGCAGGGCAAAAAGCCGTGTTTATATACACAGTGAACCTTCCCTGTTATTGTGTCCCCCAGGGCATTGCTTCTCTGAATTGGAAACCATGCTCATCGCCATTGACGCCCCTCCCCCCCATGGTGTGCGTGTGAGCGTGCATGTGTGTGTGTGTGTTTGTGCATATTTGCACGCTGCAGTGGTCTTCCCGTGTTGCTTGTGGGCTATAGGATCACAGTAAACATTAATGAGATTTAAGCATCAGTTTGTAGCTGTTTCTCAGAAGCCTTCACCGTAGAGGCAAACACACACACACACACACACACACACACACACACACACACATGTGCACTAGCGCGTGTCCTCTAGGATCGTGTGACTGATGGATGCCGTCGGAGGTGATGGCGGCCTGCCTTGCTTGAGGCAGAACATAAGTGCTGTAATCAGGACCTAACCGGGGTCAGTGATTTATGGATTTCAATATCTGGTGGCTAAATACAATTGGAAAATTTACTGGGTCAGTAGTGCATCATAAAATGCCGCCCCCACCCTATCCCAAAGCGCCTGGAAGCGTTTCGCGGCACTTGTCACGAAATGACCCGCGAACCCTGTGTGACATCACACTCGCGGTGGGCTGCGGGTAACGACTGACGCTCCCCTCTGCACTTTCCTACAGTCAGGAGCGGGTTGTGCTGCCGTCGGATGATGTTTTGGTGTTTTTAAGAAAGCTTTTAGCCAATGTATGCATACTTCCATTACTCTGAATTACTTCCATTACTCTGAATTGTTTTCACTACAATCTGTTGTCACCTTGTGTGTCTAATACATTTACTACTATAGATTAATATAGATCTAAATATGGAAGAATTGTAAGTCTTTAATTTTATAGGAGTGATACAGGTTAATATATTTTCTCCTGTTGCCTTTCTTTTAGATGTTCGAAATAACATAACAGTGGGATACATAAGGGTTCTGTCAGTTGTTCCTCTAATTCATTCTCCCGGGACGCAAACGGGAGAACCAAAGAAGTAGCCGTCGCAGACTGGGGCGGATTTGTTTCGCTCTCATAGGCCGGTTAGGAATTTCAGAGTAGCGTGGCCCCTCTCTCTCCCTCGCTCGCTTGGCTCGCTCTGGAAGGCGTGCCTGATGGCAAAACGAATAATGTTCTCAGCAGCCGGAACACAACAGCTCATGTTTAAATGCAGCGGCTGCTTTCGGCAGTGTGGGAGGGAGGAGCACCAAACGCTTGTTCGGGCCTTGTCTCCTTCCAGCTGGAGGCCGAGGCCGTGCCGGAGGTGTCTGAGAAGTACGAGATCTCCTCAGTACCTACCTTTCTCTTCTTTAAGGTAAGCTGACCGGCCTGCACTCCCCAAGACCCCTGTTACGCATGGCGGGCTCTGTTACAGCGAACTGTAAACATTAGCGTTTTATTTATTTATTTATTTAAGCGATTTGAAAAATCCACCCGGCGCTCGCTCTTGTTACCTGGGCATTCACTGGAAGCTCAGCTTAACTGCACTTATGCCTCGTCAGCTCCCCAACGGCACCGGTGTTTGAAATGTGCCGTTTCCCTCACTTGGATGTCGCTCTCAACGAACGCCAGCCGAATAAAAATAAATGTACATGTAAATACAATCTGCCAGTGTTTTTAGCAGACGTCTTGGTCCGCTGTTCAGCTAACGCGTCGTAGACACCCTTTAGCCGGCTCTGTTTGTATTAGCTGGTGAGTCACACTCAGTGACAACGTCAGCTGACGGTTGTCAGATTGGCGTCGGCCGGCAAGTACAAAAGAGAATCACGGGAATCGGGGCCCCCTCCCTCGCTGGCGCTCTGACCTGCAGACACCAGGAGAGCCCGCGGCCTCTGTCTGAGCCGGCCAATCAGATGAGAGGCTGGGGGGCAGCTCGCTGGGCACCAGGGCCTCTGAATAATTGATTGTTTTTGTTCGGTTTTACTTATTTATTTATTTTTATTTTTTTGTGTGCCGTTTCCCTCAGAGCGGCGGGAAGATTGACAGACTGGACGGAGCCCATGCCCCCGAGCTGACGAAGAAGGTCCAGAGGCTGGCGTCCAGTGCCGCCCAGCCAGCCGGTGCAGGGGGCCCCCCCAAAGTGGATCTTAATGAGCGCCTGCGCAGGCTAATCAATGCAGCGCCCTGCATGCTGTTTATAAAGGGCTCCGCCCAGGAGCCGCGCTGTGGTAAACATGCGGGCTGGGGGCAGCGGGCTGGGGGCAGCGGGCTGGGGGCAGCGGGCTGGGGGCAGCGGGCTGGGGGCAGCGGGCTGGGGGCAGCGGGCTGGGGGCATGTAGCAGGGTGCTAATCTCGCTGACACCACAGAGACACTGATCACACTTCACAGCCAAGTAAAAACATGGCAGCTCTGATCCCTGGGTTAAGGGATCGTCGATTTATGTGGATAAAATGGCAATTTTTACCAGCAGGTGAATATAGTAGCAGATACACCGACATTATTAGGAGTCCATGGGAGTCCACAGCAGAAGTCATTGTTGATTGTCGTACTGCGCCTAACTCTCTAGCGATTTTAATTAATAATTATCTCGCTCTCAGTCGTACAGTCTGTCCCTGCCATTTGATTCTGCTTCCTTCCTGTGCGCGAATCCCGATAACATGTTTGCCGCGTCCTACGAAAACCACCAGGTCCGACGTAAAGGTCGAACAAACGTTTTCTGGAGGGAGCGAAATAACATCTGCGGATTAAAACGTTAGTAACCAGGCCGCCTTTTTTATAAATAAACTGTCATGCGGAGCATCTTCAAGATGAGTGCTAGTCTTTGGGGGGCGGGGGATTTAGGGTAGACTCAAAGCCAGGCTGTACCTTGGTGTAACATCCGTGACCCTCAAACAGACAAACAAACAAATAAAGCCGCTCTATCTTTCTTGTCTGGTGCAGGTTGCCTGCAGCCATAAAAAGCATCTGGACTGCTCGCTTGCCCGGCATAACAGAAACGAGTTAATATATTGCCAGCAGAAGAGCCATTAGTGGCAACCCTTTGGCTGTTTTATAATGAATTCCCAGATGAACCCGCCATGGGGGTAGGGGGGGGGGGTTTGAGAATGGGAGTTTCACTGCAGGGCCCTACATGAAGTTAATGCTTCACCTTGCGGTGTGGCGTGCCGAGCTCGTACCTGCGCTCGGGCGCCATGAATAAAAGATCCGGAATGCTGGCGTGACGTTCCGGATCGGAACGCCGCCTCGGAAAGCCTGCCGATGCCGTTTCCTTCCCTTTTCCGCTCGTTGCCGAAGGAGGACGGACAGATGGCTGAAAAGGGGGGGATAGCCCGTCTAGAGTTTGTGATTTAAACACCTTTATTGGCGGTGAAGTTTATCGCAGCGTGTAACAGACGTTTCTTGGGAGAGTAGTTGCCTGAATCGGTCTGCCTGGATAATTTTTTTTCGGGGACGTTCCCTTAGTGATTAAAGCTGTGGTTCCCTCTGGGTCTGAGATGAATGCAGGACGGTATCTTTAATTGGGCACAGTTGCTTGTAATCAATAGCACTGTTAAGAGTTGCTACCCGGCGTAGCGTGAGGGATTCCTAAGCGGCCAGTGATGCTGTGATGATGTTTAACGCAAAGCTCCTCCTCCCGCCGCTGTCGTCGACGATTGTGCCTTTTACCCAGAGCTCCGCCCACCGCCGCTGCTCTGCCCAATCCCTGGCCGCGGTCGCCGCTGCTCTGCCCAATCCCTGGCCGCGGTCTGCTTATGATAACAGATGCTACTTAAGGCGACGGGGTCTAGTTCAGGAGCAGTGCCAGGAGGCTGGGGGACGATGTTGCCGTTTTCACTGAAGAAAAGCGATTTTTAAAAGCTGTTGTTTTAATGCCGTTGCTCTCTGATTACCCATCATTTTCTTCTCTTTCACTTTCTTAGTCCAATTAAACGTTGCTTTATATATCCCTGAGCTACTTTCGCCTAAGGTGACTTATAGATGTGTTGTATAATATCATACCGTCATGTTATGCGAACACGCCGTGAGATAAGGATTGTGCATGTGTCTGTCCCCCCCCCCGGACGGCAGGTTTTAGCCGGCAGATGGTGCAGATCCTGAAGGACCACAGCATCCAATTCAGCAGCTTCGACATCCTGTCCGACGAGGAGGTGCGGCAGGGCCTGAAGACCTACTCCAACTGGCCCACGTACCCCCAGGTGTACGTCAACGGAGACTTGGTGGGGGGGCTGGACATCGTTAAGGTGCGTGCCGTCATCACAGAACTCGCCGTTTTATCGCTTGAGGCATCTCCCATCTAACGACACCCCCTCCCCCTCATTGGTGGTGGCGGGGGCTAATCAGCCTGGGGGGGTCTTCTCTCACCTCCTCATTGTGATAATCCAGCCCCTGGGTCTCTGCCCACACAATCTCCCCCCC